GATGTGTGAATGTTATCCAAGTTCTGTGATGTGTGAATGTTATCCAAGTTCTGTGATGTGTGAATGTTGTTCAAGTTCTGTGATGTGTGTATGTTATTCAAGTTCTGTGATGTGTGAATGTTATTCAAGTTCTGTGATGTGTGAATGTTATTCAAGTTCTGTGATGTGTGAATGTTATCCAAGTTCTGTGATGTGTGTATGTTATTCAAGTTCTGTGATGTGTGTATGTTATTCAAGTTCTGTGATGTGTGAATGTTATTCAAGTTCTGTGATGTGTGAATGTTATTCAAGTTCTGTGATGAGTGAATGTTATTCAAGTTCTGTGATGTGTGAATGTTATTCAAGTTCTGTGATGTGTGAATGTTATTCAAGTTCTGTGATGAGTGAATGTTATTCAAGTTCTGTGATGTGTGAATGTTATTCAAGTTCTGTGATGTGTGAATGTTATTCAAGTTCTGTGATGTGTGAATGTTATTCAAGTTCTGTGATGTGTGAATGTTATTCAAGTTCTGTTAGAACAAAAAGTCACAATACCGTGACAATACGTTTCGGTCTGACAAGTTAATGGTTCAAGAGTCGGACCGAAACATCGTCGTAAGTCTCTCCTACATACGGGTTATTTGTGTACCATCCAAGTTATGTTGGTTACGTCTTTCGTCTCTGCTTGTGGCTGTTTTGTTTTCTTCAATTTATGTTAAACGCTAAACCCATGTGGGTCATTCACCGCAAGACGTGGTGGGGGCTTGATCCTCCGTCTTGTGAGAGCGAGACAGAGACACCCCACGTCCATGTCCCCTTGTTTGTAGCACCACCCTATAATAATGATAATAATAATAATAATAATAATAATAATAATAATAATAATAATAATAATAATAATAATAATAATAATATATTTACTACAAGTACATGTACAAGGTATACAGGTCCAGCTGACATCACTGACATACTACTATATAGGAAGCCGCTTGTTATGCATAGAATTTGGGGAAAAATAGGTCAGTTTTGTCCCAGGATGCGACCCACACCGATCGACTAACACCCAGGTACCCATTATTACTGATGGGTGAGCATAGACAACCAGTGTAAGGAAACACGCCCTATGTTTCCACCCCTTCGCCGGGAATCACACCTGGACATCACCGTGTGAAGCGAGAGTTTTTGCCACGAGTCCTGATCTTCGTGAGTAACCCCTTAAATCTTCTGTTTATTTCCTCGCGAAGATCTCTCTTGATTACTCCTTCATTTTTCAACCTCATTACTTGATCTTTTACTTTCATGTTCCTTTTTATGTGACTTGTGTTGCAGTCTCAGTTCTGTTTTAGACTTTACTGCTGTCATTCTCGGTTGGTAGAGCACTTATTTCACACACTGAGGTCAGGGGTTCGATCCTCCATACGGGTGGAAACATTAGGACGTATTTCCTTAAAACACCTGCTGTCCCTGTTCACCTAGCAGTAAATAGGTGCCTGGGTGTTAGCCGACTGGTGTAGGTCGCATCCTGGAGACAAAATTTACCTAATTTGCCAGAAATTCTCTCCATAACAAGGAACTTTCTATATAGTATGTCACTGATGTCAGCTGGGCCTGTATATTATTATTATTATTATTATTATTATTATTATTATTATCGTAATTCATGCCCTGCTTCTCTTTACTTAGTCGTTCATGGTTAGTCTTCTTCCTTCTCCATTCTCTGTGGTTCTGTGTTCTGTACACATTCCCATGTTATTTTCCTCCTTCCAGTGACCTTTCTGCGCCTGTGTGCGAGTACGTACATGCGCAAGTGTGCGCACATGAGTGTGTGTGTGTGTGTGTGTGTGTGTGTGTGTGTGTGTGTGTGTGTGTGTGTGTATGTGTGTGTGTATGTGTACTCACCTATTTGTACTCACCTATTTGTGGTTGCAGGGGTCGAGTCTTAGCTCCTGGCCCCGCCTCTTCACCGGTTGCTACTGGGCCCTCTCTCTCCCCGCTCCATGAGCTTTATCAAACCTCGTCTTAAAACTGTGTATGGTTCCTGCCTCCACTACGTCATTTTCTAGGCTATTCCACTGCCTTACAACTCTATGACTGAAGAAATACTATCCTACTATCTCTCTGACTCATTTGTGTCTTCAACTTCCAATTGTGGCCTCTTGTTTCTGTGTCCCCTCCCTGGAACATCCTGTCTTTGTCCACCTTGTCCATTCCATGCAGTATTTTATATGTCGTTATCATGTCTCCCCTGACCCTCCTATCCTCCAGTGTCGTCAGGCCGATTTCCCTTAATCTTTCTTCATAGGACATTCCCCTTAGCTCTGGAACTAACCTTGTCGCAAACCTTTGTACTTTCTCTAGTTTCTTGACGTGCTTTATCAAGTGCGGGTTCCAAACAGGTGCTGCATACTCCAGTATGGGCCTGACATACACGGTGTACAGTGTCTTGAGATTCTTACAGGTATCGGAATGCTGTTCCTAAATGGTTTACAGGCGCCTATGTGCAGAGTTATCTGATTGATAGTGGCTTCCGGAGACATTGTCCCGGTGTTATAATACCCAATCTTCTCCTTGAGTGAGGTTTGCAGTTTTGGCAACCATAGCCTATACTAGTCTGTGGTCTTCTGTGCCCTTCACTAATCTTCAGGGACTTTGCATTTGGCAGGATTAAACAAAGCCATTTGCTAGACAAGGTGTCCAGTTGTCCAGGTTCTTTGAAGTCCTGCCTGGTTCCTCATCAGATTTAATTCTCCTCATAACTTCACTCATCTGAAACAGGACACTTCTGAGTCTACCTTCATCATGTCGTCACAATTACAAAATAGCACTGGTCTGGGACGACCTGTGGACCCGCTCGCACAGGTGCCACTGTGATACATCATAGACCATGACTGATTGCTCCCTGTAAGATATCTCTGATCCATTGCAGTGCCCTTCCTGTTATATGCGCTGATGCTCTAGCTTCTGCACTAATCTCTTGTGAGGACTGTGTCAAAGGCCTTCTTGCAGTCCAAGAAGATGCAATCAACCCACCCCTCTCTCTCGTGTCTTACTTCTGTTATTTTATCATAAAACTCCAGAAGGTTTGTGACACAAGATTTGCCTTCCGTGAATCCGTGCTGGTTGGCATTTATACTCCTGTTCCGTTCCAGTGCTCCACCACTCTCTCTGATAATCTTTCCATAATTTTGCATACTATACACGTCAATGACACAGGTCTATAGTTTAGTGCCTCTTTTCTGTCTCCTTTTTTAAAAATGGGAACTACATTTGCCGTCTTCCATACCTCAGGTAGTTGCCCAGTTTCAAGGGACGTGTTGAAGATTGTGGTAAGTGGCACGCACAACATATCTGTGTGTGTATGTGTGTGTGTGTGTGTGTGTGTGTGTGTGTGTGTGTGTGTGTGTGTGTGTGTGTGTGTGTGTGTGTGTGTGTGTGTACTCTGAACCTCTCGATCAGCACTTAATTAAATATTCCCCTCTGCTGATAAACATTATCTTAATATATTATCTGACTGTTGATAATCCTGTTGTTATCGTGATGTAGTGAGACTCGTTATGTGGCCACCAGGAACTTAAAGCACAAGGGAACACGATGTGTTTTAGGATGCTAATTTCAGAAGCTTTCGCTCAAGCCGAGACCGTCATTAGTGCACCACTCAACCCTAACTCCATTACAGCATTTAATTCCCGATAAAGCTCGACGTAAAGCCAAACATTGTCCTAACAAACTCGACTCAGAATGCAACGTCGTCACAATAAAAAAAAAAAATGTCCTTCAAACTTGATTTAAAATTTTGTCGTGTTATATAATGACCCACCACAGGTTCAGTCACGTGATAACCACACCCAGTGGAGTTTCCGGTCATCTGACAAAGGTTTTCAGTTGCCAGCTCCATAAAAATATCACATTATTAGACGTAATATTTGTGGAAAAAAGCACTTGGGTACACTTCAGGACATTTATTAAGGGAAACATTTCGCCCTGAGTGGCAAATGTTGCCACTAATAAATAAATGCCTGTCGGTATCTCCTCAAAATTGTCTTCTAGGTGATGGTAGTTGTCCACCCTTATAAAAACCCGATAGTTTACTAGGATGGTTCACCAGTGTGGTCTTACAGAATGAGAAACTCTTCGTTTACATAAGAACATAAGAAAGACGGAGCACTGCAACAGGCCTACTGACCCATGCGAAGCAGGTCCATTCCACCCCGCCGGCCAAGAACAATGACCACCTAGGCAGGTCACTTCCACTTAAGGAAGGAGTACGGCACCAGATCTGGTAGCCCAAGCTAGTCAGGTCCAACTCACACCCACCCACATCCACTCATGTATTTATCCAACCTATTTTTAAAACTACACAACGTCTTAGCCTCTATAACTGTACTCGAGAGTTTCACTCATCCACAACTCTATTACCAAACTAGTGCTTTCCTATATCCTTCCTGAATCTGAATTTTTCCAACTTGAAACCACTGCTGCGAGTCCTGTCTTGGCTGGAAATTTTCAGCACGCTGTTTACATCCCGTTTATTTATTCCTGTTTTTCCATTTATACACCTCAATCATATCCCTAATTCTACGCCTTTCTAGAGAGTGCAGATTCAGGGCCTTCAGTCTATCCTCATAGGGAAGATTTCTGATACATGGTATCAACTTTGTCATCCTCCTCTGTACGTTTTCCAGAGCATTTATATCCATTCTGTAATACGGTGACCAGAACTGAGCAGCATAGTCAAAATGAGGCCTAACCAAGGATATATAGAGTTGAACAACCTGAGGACTTCTATTATTTATACTTTTTGATAGGGAAAATATATCTAAGCAAGTTTATGTCTTCTGTATTCATGTTTGCATTTATTTGTTGGTACTGATTTATTTGTATTGATTTATTTGTATTCATATTTGCATTCGTGTTTGTATTCAAATTCTTTATCTTTATTAAATGGTAGAATAAATCTAATATGTAAGTTTATTAATTTTCTACAATAAGTGTGTGTTAATATCGCCATAGGGTTAATAAGCTTATTTACCTTCATATTTATTTTATTAATATTTAATTCACTGTTCAGTCACAAATAACTAATGTTGCTTAAACTTATGAGATAATATGATATATTTGTTCATTATCTTCCTGTTGAACCTCAAGTGGACAATTGTGATGGAGAGGTGTGAGCAAGGCTCACACCTCTCCATTACCTTTGTCTGTGGAGAGGCGTGAGCAAAGCTCAAACCTCTCCAAAAACAAACCAAATGTGACAGTAATTCTGGACAATGTAGATTATAGAGGGAAAATGAACATGATATTAGGAGACAAGGCTTTCAGCTTGATTTACCAATCCACTCTGTAAAATATTATAAGCTGTGCCATTCTTGTTTGGTAGTGAAGTCCGTGTTTCAGTCTAGTTCTTGGCATGTTCCACAGAAGAGCTTTGCATTGTTTTACAACTGCAAATTGCGTGCATAACATTTTTACATGTTCCCAAACACTGGGTCACTGAAAGTGGTGTTGACGTTTGAGTGGTTTATATAGGGATAGGCAGCGTCTTCTCTGGGAAGGATGCCACTCCTCTTTTTCCATGGGATATTTGCTTGAATAAGAACCCAGCATCGTCTTCGGAGTAAATGGTGGGGATATTTTCCCGTTGGTCAAAATTTGCTTACACTTAAGGCTGATAACACGGAATAAATTATGGAAATGGATTTGCGGAATATGAAAATAAATACTTTGAATAGTTTTACATGCTTTGTGACTATGATGTAGTAAATTTATTACGACAGTACCATAAATTTCATACTAAAAATGAAATAGATTTAAAGCATTGAATGACTCCAACTGATCCATTGTTTTGTAAATACAAAGAAACAACCCGTTTTTATATGGTCTTATAGTTAATTTTTTTTACAATGTTGAGAAGCAGCGATGCTTGTGTAGTCGTTAGCACTCAAAATATAGAGCAACAATGATTTTTAATGTGGCGCCGTGGTTGACGAGCCTTGTGCTTCTTGTGCTGGTCCGTCCTGCTACTGGTGCTGCTGGACCCATAACTATAGCTATAAGCAACAGAGGCCAGACCACTGTCACCACCTGAGTGGTGGTGATGGTGACCATTTGAGTGGTGGTGATGGTGACCATTTGAGTGGTGGTGATGGTGACCATTTGAGTGGTGGTGATTACTTCCAGAGTCGTAGTGATGACTTCCAGAGTCGTAGTGATGACTTCCAGAGTCGTGGTGATGACTTCCAGAGTCGTGGTGTCCACCTCCACAGTCACTCATCTGAAAAAAAAAAAAACGGTTTGCATACTTATGATCAACGTCAATATAATTCCATTATATAAATGCACTCACATATTTGTGATTGCAGGGTCGAGTAATAACTCCTGGGCCTGCCTCATGTGTGTGTGTGTGTGTGTACTCACCTAGTTGAGGTTGCAGGGGTCGAGAACAAGCTCCTGGCCCCGCCTCTTCACTGGTCGCTACTAGGTCACTCTCCCTGAACCGTGAGCTTTATCATACCTCTGCTTAAAGCTATGTATGGATCCTGCCTCCACTACATCGCTTCTCAAACTATTCCACTTCCTGACTACTCTGTGGCTGAAGAAATACTTCCTAACATCCCTGTGATTCATCTGTGTCTTCAACTTCCAACTGTGTCCCCTTGTTACTGTGTCCAATCTCTGGAACATCCTGTCTTTGTCCACCTTGTCAATTCCTCTCAGTATTTTGTATGTCGTTACCATGTCCCCCCTATCTCTCCTGTCCTCCAGTGTCGTCAGGTTGATTTCCCTTAACCTCTCCTAGTAGGACATACCTCTTAGCTCTGGGACTAGTCTTGTTGCAAACCTTTGCACTTTTTCTAGTTTCTTTACGTGCTTGGCTAGGTGTGGGTTCCAAACTGGTGCCGCATACTCCAATATGGGCCTAACGTACACGGTGTACAGGGTCCTGAACGATTCCTTATTAAGATGTCGGAATGCTGTTCTGAGGTTTGCTATGCGCCCATATGCTGCTGCAGTTATTTGGTTGATGTGCGCTTCAGATGTGCCTGGTGGTGTGTGTGTGTGTATCATCTAAGCTATAACAGCAGGCTTATGGGAAGACAGTGATTAAATAAATGACGATGAAAGTGTTTCTTCTTTTACGGGCCACCCTACCTCAGTGGGAGAGGTCCGGTATTATATATACATATATTATATTAATTTTATATATATTTATATATATATATATATATATTATATATATATTATATTTATATATTATATATTATATAATATTTTATATATATATATATATAGATTATATTATATCTACACATACAAAAGGTGTGTACTCACCTATTTGTGGCTGCAGGGGTCGAGTCTTAGCTCCTGGCCCCGCCTCTTCACTGGTTGCTACTGGGTCCTCTCTCTCCCTGCTCCATGAGCTTTATCATACCTCGCCTTAAAACTATGTATGGTTCCCGCCTCCACTACGTCACTTTCTAGGCTATTCCACTGCCTGACAACTATGACTGAAGAAATACTTCCTAACATCATTTTGACTTATCTGACTCTTCAACTTCTAATTGTGACCGCTTGTTTCTGTGTCCCCTCCCTGGAACATCCTGTCTTTGTCCACCTTGTCTATTCCGCGCAGTTTTTTATATGTCGTTATCATGTCTCCCCTGACTCTCCTGCCCTCCAGTGTCGTCAGGCCGATTTCCCTTAACCTTTCTTCATAGGACATCCCCCTGAGTTCTGGAACTAACCTTGTCGCAAACCTTTGCACTTTCTCTAATTTCTTGACGTGCTTTATCAAGTGCAGGTTCCAAACAGGTGCTGCATACTCTAGTATGGGCCTGACGTGCATGGTGTACAGTGTCTTGAACGATTCCTTACTAAGGTATCGGAACGCTGTTCTCAGGTTTGCCAGGCGACCATATGCTGCAGCAGTTATCTGGTTTATATGTGCTTCCGGAGACATGCTCGTTATACTCACCCCAAGATCTTTCTCCTTGAGTGAGGTTTGCAGTCTTTGGCCGCCTAGCCTATACTCCGTCTGCGGTCTTCTGTGCCCTTCATGACCTTGCACTTGGCAGGGTTAAATTTGAGAAGCCAGTTGCTGGACCAGGTGTCCAGTCTGTCCAGGTCTCTTTGAAGTCCTGCCTGATCTTCATCTGATTTAATTCTCCTCATTAACTTCACATCATCTGCGAACAGGGACACTTTTGAGTCTAACCCTTCCATCATGTCGTTCGCATATACCAAAAATAGCACTGGTCCTTGGACTGACCCCTGTGGGACCCCGCTCGTCACAGGTGCCCACTGTGATACCTCATCAGGTACCATGACTCGTATTCTCTAATCCATTGCAGTGTGCGTTGTGTGTGTGCAGTGTGTGTGCAGGTGCAGTGTGTGTGTGTGACTCACCTATTTGTGGTTGCAGGAGTCGATTCATGGCTCCTGGCTCAGCCTCTTCACTGGTCGCTACTAGGTCCACTCTCTCCCTTCTCCAAGATCTTTATTGTATCTCTTCTTAAATCTATGTATGGATCTTGCCTTCACTTCATCACTCTCCAGATTGTTCCACTTCCTGACAACTTTATGACTGAAGAAATACTTCCTAACATCACTGTGACTCATCTGAGTTTTTAACTTCTAATTGTGACCCCTTGTTGCTGTGTCACATCTCTGAAACATTCTGTCCCTGTCCATATATAACAAAAAAAAAAAAAACGCACAATACCGTGACTGGAACGATACACAAATAACCCGCACATAGAAGAAAGGAGCTTACGACGACGTTTCGGTCCGACTTGGACCATTTACAAAGTCACACTTTGTAAATGGTCCAAGTCGGGTTGTTTGTGTATTGTCCCCATCGACCTTGTCAATTCCTCTCAGTATTTTATAAGTCGTTATCATGCCTCCTTATCCCTCCTGTCCTCCAGTGTCGTCAGGCTGAATTCCTTTAACCTCTCCTTGTAGGACATACCCATCAGCTCAGGGACTATCCTGTTGCGCACCTTTGCACTTTCTCTGTTTTTCCTAACGTGCAACAGTTATTTGGTTGATGTGCTCGGTATGATGCTCACCCTAAGATCCTTTCCCTTGAATTAGTTTTGCAGCCTTTGACCTCCTAGGTTGTACTCCGTCTGCTGCCTCCTTTGTTCTTCTCCAAGCTTCATAATTTTGTGTTTGCTGGGGTTAAACTCCAGGAACCATTTGTCGGACTAGGCTTGCAGCCTGCCCAGATCCCCTTGTAGGCTCACCTGATCCTCGTCCGCTTGTATTCTCCTCATTAGCTTCACATTGTCTGCCAACAGGGACACCTCTGAATCTATCTCTTCCGTTATGTCAGTCACCTGTGTGTGTGTGTGTGTGTGGTGTGTGTGTGTGTACTTACCTAATTGTGGTTGCAGGGGTCGAGACTCAGCTCCTGGTCCCGCCTCTTCACCGACCGCTACTAGGTCCTCTCTCCCTCTGCTCCATGAGCTTTATCATACCTCGACTGTTCCACTTCCTAACTACTCTATGACTGAAGAAATACTTCTTAATATCCCTTTGACTCATCTGAGTCTTCAGCTTCCAATTGTGACCCCTTGTTTCTGTGTCCCATCTCTGGAACATCCTGTCTCTGTCCACCTTGTCTATTCCACGCAGTATTTTGTATGTCATTGTCATGTCTCCCCTGACCCTCCTGTCCTCCAGTGTTGTCAGACCGATTTCCCTTAACCTTTCTTCATAGGACATTCCCTTAGCTCTGGAACTAGCCTTGTTGCAAACCTTTGCACTTTCTCTAATTTCTTGACGTGTTTGGCCAGGTGTGGGTTGCAAACTGGTGCTGCGTACTCCAGTATGGGCCCGACGTACACAGTGCATAAAGTCTTGAACGATTCCTTACTGAGGTACCGGAACGCTATTCTCAGGTTTGCCAGGCGCCCATATGCCGCAGCAGTTATCTGGTTAATGTGTGCTTCTGGCGATGTACTCGGTATTATACTCACTCCTAGGTCTTTCTCCTTGAGTGAGGTTTGCAGCCTTTGGCCACCTAGCCTATACTCTGTCTGCGGTCTTCTTTGTCCTCCTCCGATCTTCATGACTTTGCATTTGGCGGGGTTAAATTCTAGGAGCCAGTTTCTGGACCACACATCCAGCCTGTCCAGGTCTCTTTGTAGACCTGTCTGGTCCGCATCTGATTTAATTCTCCTCATTTAACATCACGTCATCTGCAAACAAAGACACTTCTGAGTCTATCCCTTTCTACCTCATCTCCCACAACATACTCAACCCCTGTCAATTTGGGTTCAGGCCTAATAAAAATACTAATGATGCTATTATCCACATGCTAGAACATATTTATACAGCAATAGAGAAAAAAGAAGTCCCACTGGGGATCTTCATTGACTTACGTAAAGCTTTCGATACAGTTGACCATGACTTGCTCCACATAAAATTGTCACACTATGGTATAAGAGGGCACTCCCTCAACTACCTCAAGTCATACCTCAGCAACAGAAGCCAGTATGTGTACACAAATGGGGCAAACTCTTCCGCACAGCCAATTACAGTTGGTGTCCCACAGGGAAGTGTCCTAGGCCCTCTTCTCTTTCTCATATACATAAATGACCTACCAAATGCATCGCAACTACTCAAACCCACACTATTTGCAGATGACACTACATACGTCTACTCTCACCCGAGCCCAGTCATGCTAGCCAATACTGTAAATACCGAATTACAGAAAATATCAACCTGGATGAGGACCAACAAACTTACTCTAAACATTGACAAAACCTACTACATTCAGTTTGGTAACAGAGCTACAGATGTGTCTCTTAACATAACGATAAATGGATCACCTATCACAAAACTCAGAGGGAAAATTCCTAGGAATCCACCTTGATAATAGACTCAAATTTCAAACACATATACAACAAATTTCCCCAAAAATTTCCAAGACTGTAGGCATACTATCGAAGATACGGTACTATGTTCCACAGTCAGCCCTCCTGGCCCTATATCACTCACTTATTTACCCCTATCTCACCTATGGAATTTGTGCATGGGGCTCAACAACAATAAACCATCTCAGACCACTAATTACCCAACAAAAGGCTGCAGTTAGAATGATAAATTCTCACTACAGGCAGCACACTCCACCAATATTCAAAACTCTAAACCTACTCACAATACAAAACATCCATACTTATTACTGCACCTACTACATACATAGAACACTTAACTCTGACATAAACCCTCCCCTCAAACATCTCCTTACCAACCTCAACAGAATACATGACCATAACACAAGACACAGATCACTCTCTGATGTTCCTCGTGTCCATCTCACGCTATGCAAAAACTCAATGTACATAAAAGGCCCTAAAATCTGGAATTCATTACCTGTGAATATAAAAGAAACGCTGTCTGTTTATAAATTCAAGTCTCTTCTCAAAAATCACTTACTCACCCACAACTAAATAAATACTGAATAATTGTATCTCATAAATTGTATCTCATATATATCTCATTATTATATCTCATAAATGTCAACCTGTGACCCAGTCAAACTTTGTTACTATTTAACTTCATTACCTAACATAATACTCCATTCTACTGATTACACAGCAACACAGTAATGACCATATGACCTGTCTTTGTAATACTCATTTGTACTAAATTGTTATCTGTTTTACAATTTTTGTACCACTGAATATATCATTACTTAGTTAATCTTAAGTTAATTTTAATCCTGCCCATAATGCTCTACATACAAGGGGCTTTGGCATGTTGCACTTTAAAAATTGTATTCCTTGTACTTCTCTGTATCATGTTCAAATTAAATAAATAAATAAATAAATAAATAAATAAATACTGATTGTAGAGCAATACAAGCAACCATATGACCTGTTTTTGTAATACTCATTTGTGCTTAATTGTTATCTGTTTACAATAATGTTTTACCACTGAATACTTCATTGCTTAGTTAATCTTAAGTTAATTTTAAGTCTGCCAGTAATGCTATGCATTCAAGTTACTTTGGCATGCTGCATTTAACTGTATTCTTTTGTACTTCTCTGTATCATGTTCAAATAAATAAATAAATAAATAAATAAATAAATAAATAAATAAATACCAAGAATAGCACTGGTCCCAGGACTGACCCCTGTGGGACCCCGCTCGTCACTGGCGCCCACTGTGATACCTCATCACAGACCATGACTCGCTGTTGCCTCGCTGTTAGGTATTCTCTGATCCATTGCAGTGCCCTTCCTGTTATACGTGCCTGTTCCTCTAGCTTCTGTACTAATCTCTTGTGAGGAACTGTGTCGAAGGCCTTCTTGCAGTCCAAGAAAATGCAATCAACCCACCCCTCCCTCTCATTTCTTACTTCAGTTACCTTGTTATAAAACTCTAGTAGGTTTGTGACACAGAATTTTCCTTCCATGAATCTGTGCTGGTTGTCGTTTATAATCTTGTTCCGCTCCAGGTGCTCCACCACTCTCCTCCTGATAATCTTTTCCAAGATTTTGCATACTATACATGTCAGTGACACTGATCTATAATTTAGTGCTTCATTTCTGTCTCCCTTCTTAAAGATGGGGACTACATTTGCCTTCTTCCATACTTCAGGTAGTTGCCCAGTTTCAAGGGAAGTGTTGAAGATTTTGGTTAGTGGCACACACAGTGTCCCTGCTCCCTCTCTGAGGATCCACGGAGAAATGTTGTCCAGTCCCACCGCCTTTGAGGTATCAAGGTCACTTAGGAGCTTCTCCACCTCCTCCTCAGTTGTGTGTAATTCATCCAACACTGTTGGTATATCCTTTGTTGCTGTACCCCACTGTTTTGTCCTCCCATTGTTCCTTCAGCCTCCACTGTAAATACTTCCTGAAATCTCATGATGAGCTTCTCACATGCCTCCTGGTTGTTTCTTGTGAGTTCCCCACCTTCTTTCCTCAGCCTGATTACCTGGTCCTTGACTGTTGTCTTCCTCCTGTTGTGGCTTTAGAGTAGTTTCGGGTCAGACTTGACTTTCGATGCTATGTCATTTTCATGCTGTCGCTGTGCCTCCCTCCTTATCTGTGCATACTCGTTTCTGGCTCGTCGACTAATCTCTTTATTCTCCTGAGTCCTTTGCCTTCTGTACTTTTTCCATTCTCTAGAGCACTTAGTTTTTGCCTCCCTGCACCTTCGGGTAAACCAAGGGCTCGTTCTGTCCTTCCCATTATTTCTGTTACCCTTGGGAACAAACCTTTCCTCTGCCTCCTTGCTACAAAGTCCATCATTTCGTTTACTGATTTTCCTACCAACTCCTGTTCCCATTGAACCTCCTGCAGGAAGGTCCTCATTCCTAAGTAGACCCCCCCTTTTATAGTTTAGCTTTTCCCTTTCTACTCCTGTTACCCTCTCCACTTTTAGCTCCACGATGTATTCAAAGCTCCTAACTACGTGGTCACTAGCTCCAAGTGGCCTTTCATATGTGATGTGCTCAATGTCTAAGCTACTCGGGGTGAACACGAGGCCCAATCTTGCTGGTTCATCATCCCCTCTCTCTCTGGTAGTATCCCTAACATGTTGGTGCATGAGATTTGCCAGCACCACATCCATCATCTTGGCTCTCCATGTTTCGGGACCCCCATGTGGTGTGTGTGTGTGTTTGTGTGTGTGTGTATTCACTTAATTGTGGTGGCAGCTGTCGTGTGTGTGTGTGTGTGTGTGTGTGTGTGTGTGTGTGTGTGTGTGTGTGTGTGTGTGTGTGTGTGTGTGTGTGTGTGTGTGTATGTGTGTGTGTGTGTGCACGTTTGTGTGTATGTGTATTGCTCATGAAGACTACTTTTCCAAACGGGAGGAGAATGAAATTTGTTCTGTGGCTTCCATGGCCACGTATGTGCTCACATCAAGGGTGACTTATCCTATGGTACTAGTCACCTGATGTTTGAAACATTGATGGCCGAGTGAACTAAGGTCTCTCGGAATTTTGGCAGGCTTCCCAGGAGATGTGCTAATATATCGGGGGTTTGATTCCAGGCTAGTCACATTATTGTTTTATATATATAACAAACTTAATTAAATTGCACTTGTTATAATAAGATTGGGTAAGCTTTCTAAGGTTCTTTTGGTACAAAATTATTAATTTTTACATTAGCATAAGTGAAAAAATGTATCTTTAAACGTATAAAAGAAAATTTTAGAAAGGACTTAATTTTAAACGAGTTGTTGCTAACTCGACAATTTTACCTATTCGGCAAAACATATATATATATATATATATATATTATATATATATATATATATATATATATATATATATATATATATATATATATATATATATATATTCACTTATGCTAATGTAAAAATTAATAATTTTGTGCCAAAAGAACCTTAGAAAACTTACCTAATCTTATTATAACAAGAGAAGACTGGTTATTTAATTTAAACAGAGGCCTTGTACCAGGGTGGCACAGGAAGGCACACCTGCTACCATAACAAATCACCTATCTCAGATCTTAATAGTGTATGCCGTAGTTTGAAAAATATCCACTACAAAATTGACCATACGTAGGTATAAGACATTTACACGTATACAAATATATAAATACCTTAGTTTTTGAGGAATACTGGAGTTACTATTAATTTTCCCTTATATTGGAGGAAGTTGACGTGAGTATACTAGCCAGAGAACATAACACTGCTACTACCGCACAATTTTCACTCGCGTATATATACCCAATTCAAGGCCGGACAATACAATCATGCGTCGTCACACGGGAAGGCCCAGCCAACTAAATCATCTGTCATGTGCATAGGAAGTACAGATAAGATGAGAGCAGTACTGTATCTAGAAAAATGTAGTGTTTTTCAGCTACCGATAAGAGGTTCGTATGTTCAGTACTGGCATATATCTCTTGAGAAAAGTAAAAGTGGCCCCTCGTGGGACGTACCTTGATGCCTATAAGGAGCTCTTGATCCAAGGAACTGTACCTATCTTCAATATCCTTGGATTGAAGCTGAATGTCTCCCATTCCCCCAGGCGCTATATGATCCCAGAGGATTTAGCGCATCCCCATGAATGTCGGCCATGTTGGAGATATTTAGGTACCCTTAAAGGGGTACCTTGAAGTAGCTGTCTGATTTTTGTTTCCTCATCCAAATTTGCGACTTTATTTCGCTCATAACTAGCAAATACCTCATCCAATCTTCCTCAATTTTTTCAGCACTGGTGTACAGTAATGAGGACCAAATTTTTCGAACAATTCGCATTTTTACGTGCCCTATGACCAAAGCTGGTGAACCCATTCCCAGCATCCTGGATTGCCTCAGATAACTTCGAAAACCCTCAGTGGCCGAGTTTCAAACATTCAAAAAATGTGCCCAAAATTACGACGAAAAATACAAAATATATAAGCGCAAACTTGAGCCATTTATGTGGAAAACAGTGTGAGCTTTAATTCCCATTATATCACGTTAATAATTTTCAGTTTACCTCTTCTGAACGACTTTAATATTTAATGACTGATGCATCTTAGGGTCAAAATAGTACCGTTACATGCCTGTGGAGTTGATTATTATTTTTATGTCGACTGTGGAGGTTAGCAAACAAGCAAGCAAAGTCATATAACAAGTGAACTGTAATGGGACTTAGCTTGCTGACGACAACACTGTTCTGCAGCCACTTCCGGAAAGTTCTTGGAGTCGTCGATGTAACCACCATTGGGCTGTTAAAAGAGATCAGTGGTATAAGTATAATTACCCCTAGGGGGTGTTATTCAGCATATATCAGAAACTGATTGCTGATGATACATACTGGTTTGGACTCAAAAGTCCACACCTCACTTCCGACTTTAGGATGATTTCAAACCCCTTGTGACACAAGAACTGTGCAGTCCCCTGTGTAATAAGTTGGTTTAATACCTACCTTGCTCTTGTAGAGTGAGCTATGGTGTTGGATGCACCATTTTCGACAGGTATTGGTGACTTGATAGAAGCTGAAGTGTTATTGGATGCCCACGACTTCCACGGTCTAGGAATACGCACACTGGTACAGTATGTTCCACAAGATTTGTCCCTTTTCACAGTGACATAACTACAGGAAGCTGATCACACTTCTCTGTAATTGTTCTGCTGTGTCCTTGAGATTCTTTATGCACAAAAAACGTGCGGATCAGTGTAGTGTTCTTTGTTCGTTATCGTGGCGTTAATGTTTCCCTTGGCGGGGCAGATGACAGAGCACTGTCATCTGCATACAGTAGGATTTGCACTTGACACTGATGGGCATGTCGTTTACATAACATAGAATAGGCCTAATAAGGGACCCAGAATACTACTTTGGGGAACTCCACATGTTCTGACTCTGTTTGTTGATTTTGACAATTTCTTTTCTGTTGCTAAGGTAGGACTTAAACCAGTCTACGGAACCTATGCCGATAGCTTGAAGTTTCTTACATAATATATTGTGGCTGACAGTATCAGAGGCCTTTTGCAAGTCTAAGGTTACCATTCCTATGAGGCTCCCTATCGACATTTCAGTTCTCATGTAATCTATCAGAATAATTAGGGAGGTGTCGGTTGAGTAAGATCTCCTTAAGCTTGAATGGTAACTATTAAGAATGTTGTTGTCATTAAGATACTTAACTACTTGACAGTACACCGTCCTCTTTAAAATTTTGGATATTACACTGAGTGTACTAACAGGCCTATAGTTGCTGACATCAGACCTACAATTTTTATTGAAGATAGGAGTAACTCTGGCCTCCTTGAACCCTTCCAGTACGGTATTAGTGGTGATGGACAAATTTATTATGTGAACAATGGGAATTGGCAATTCAGAGGCACCATCCTGCTTCCTGACAAGCCTTACATAAGAACATAAGAAAGAAGACTACAACAGGCCTACTGGGCCATTCGAGGCAGATTCAAGTTTCCTACCGGCTTAAGCCAATGACCTAACTTAGTTAGATCAGGTCACATTCACTTAAGGAAGGAACACGGTATCAGACCTAGTAGCACAAGCTAGTCAGGTCCAACTCACACCCATTCATGTATTTATCTAACCTATTTTTAAAACTACACAACGTCTTAGCTTCTATGACGGTACTCGGGAATTTGTTCCACTCATCCGTAACTCTGTTACCAAACCAGTGCTTTCCTACATCCTTCCTGAATCTGAATTTTTCCAACTTAAAGCCAGTGTTGCGAATCCTGTCTGGGCTAGAGATTCTTAGCACGCTATTTACATCACCATTATTTATTCCTGTTTTCCATTTATACACCTCAGTCATATCCACCCTAATTCTACGCCTTTCTAGAAAGTGAAGATTCAGGGTCCTCAGTCTATCCTCATAGGGAAGATTTCTGATACACTGGATCAACTTTGTCATCATCTGTTGTACGTTTTCCAGTGTAAGAAAAAGGAGTAGATGTAAAATAGAAAGAGACAGGCGCTCCCTTTACAGGCGACGGAAAAGAATAACAGAGCGGCTAAAAAAGGCCAAAATATCTGAAATGCATAGGGAGACACTGGTCAGAGAAATAGCAAGCATCGAACTTAAGCTAAAGGAATCTTATAGGAGTCAGGAATCGCGGGAAGAACTAAAAGCCATAAATGAAATCGAAAGAAACCCAAAGTATTTCTTCTCCTATGCCAAATCAAAGTCGAGAACAACGTCCAGTATTGGGCCCCTACTTAAACAAGATGGGTCCTACACAGATGACAGCAAGGAAATGAGTGAGCTACTCAAGTCCCAATATGACTCAATTTTTAGCAAGCCGCTAACCAGACTGAGAATCGAAGATCAAAATAAATTTTTTATGAGAGAGCCACAGAATTTGGTTAACACAAGCCTATCTGATGTTATCCTGACGCCAAATGACTTCGAACAGGCGATAAATGACATGCCCATGCACTCTGCCCCAGGGCCAGACTCATGGAACTCCGTGTTCATCAAGAACTGCAAGAAGCCCCTATCACGAGCTTTTACCATCCTATGGAGAGGGAGCATAGACACGGGGGTCGTCCCACAGTTACTAAAAACAACAGACATAGCCCCACTCCACAAAGGGGGCAGTAAAGCAATAGCAAAGAACTACAGACCGATAGCACTAACATGCCATATCATAAAAATCTTTGAAAGGGTCCTAAGAAGCAAGATCACCACCAATCTAGAAACCCATCAATTACACAACCCAGGGCAACATGGGTTTAGAATAGATCGCTCCTGTCTGTCTCAACTATTGGATCACTACGACAAGGTCCTAGATGCAATAGAAGACAAAAAGAATGCAGATGTAATATATACAGACTTTGCAAAAGCCTTCGACAAGTGTGACCATGGCGTAATAGCGCACAAAATGCGTGCTAAAGGAATAACAGGAAAAGTCGGTCGATGGATCTATAATTTCCTCACTAACAGAACACAAAGAGTAGTAGTCAACAGAGTAAAGTCCGAGGCAGCTACGGTGAAAAGCTCTGTTCCACAAGGCACAGTACTCTCTCCCATCTTGTTCCTCATCCTCATATCTGACATAGACAAGGATGTCAGCCACAGCACCGCGTCTTCCTTTGCAGATGACACCCGAATCTGCATGACAGTGTCGTCCATTGCAGACACTACAAGGCTCCAGGCGGACATCAACCAAATCTTTCAGTGGGCTGCAGAAAACAATACGAAGTTCAACGATGAGAAATTTCAATTACTCAGATACGGTAAACACGAGGAAATTAAATCTTCATCAGAGTACAAAACAAATTCTGGCCACAAAATAGAGCGAAACACCAACGTCAAAGACCTGGGAGTGATCATGTCGGAGGATCTCACCTTCAAGGACCATAACATTGTATCAATCGCATCTGCTAGAAAAATGACAGGATGGATAATGAGAACCTTCAAAACTAGGGGTGCCAAGCCCATGATGACACTCTTCAGGTCACTTATTCTATCTAGGACTGGAATATTGCTGCACCCAAACAGCACCTTTCAAGGCAGGTGAAATTGCTGACCTAGAAAATGTACAGAGAACCTTCACGGCGCGCATAACGGAGATAAAACACCTCAGTTACTGAGAGCGCTTGAAGTTCCTGAACCTGTATTCCCTGGAACGCAGGCGGGAGAGATACATGATTATATACACCTGGAAAATCCTGGAGGGACTAGTACCGAACTTGCACACGAAAATCACTCACTACGAAATCAAAAGACTTGGCAGACGATGCAACATCCCTCCAATGAAAAGCAGGGGTGCCACTAGCACGTTTAGAGACCATACAATAAGTGTCAGGGGCCCGAGATTGTTCAACTGCCTCCCAGCATACATAAGGGGGATTACCAACAGACCCCTGGCAGTCTTCAAGCTGGCACTGGACAAGCACCTAAAGTCGGTTCCTGACCAGCCGGGCTGCGGCTCGTACGTTGGTATGCGTGCAGCCAGCAGTAACAGCCTGGTTGATCAGGCTCTGATCCACCAGGAGGCCTGGTCACAGACCGGGCCGCGGGGGCGTTGACCCCCGGAGCTCTCTCCAGGTAAACTCCAGGTAGTATTTATATCCATTCTGTAATACAGTCACCAAAACTGTGCAACATAATCTAAATGAGGCCTAACCAAAGATATATATAGAGTTGAAGAACAACCTGAGGACTCCTAACCCGTCTCCATGTCAGTAGTTACACCAGCACCAAGCTTAATTAAGCTCTTGCTTTGTTTTCCGGGTCAAAAAAAAAAAACGAAATCTTATCTTGCATGACTGTGTTGTGTGGTGGTGTGTTGCATGATTATGTTGTGGTGGTGTGTTACATGATTATGTTGTGGTGGTGTGTTGCATGATTATGTTGTGGTGGTGTGTTGCATGATTATGTTGTGGTGGTGTGTTGCATGATTATGTTATGGTGGTGTGTTGCATAATTATGTTATGGTGGTGTGTTGCATGTATTTGTTGATTGGTGGTGGGGTGTTGCATGATTATGTTGTGGTGGTGTGTTGCATGATTATGTTATGGTGGTGTGTTGCATGATTATGTTATGGTGGTGTGTTGCATGAGTGATTGTGTTGTTTACCTGGAGTTTACCTGTAGAGAGTTCCGGGGGTCAACGCCCCCGCGGCCCGGTCTGTGACCAGGCCTCCTGGTGGATCAGAGCCTGATCAACCAGGCTGTTACTTCTGGCTGCACGCAAACCAACGTACGAGCCACAGCCCGGCTGGTCAGGTACCGACTTTAGGTGCTTGTCCAGTGCCAGCTTGAAGACTGCCAGGGGTCTATTAGTAATCCCCCTTATGTATGCTGGGAGGCAGTTGAACAGTCTCGGGCCCCTGACACTTATTGTATGGTATCTTAACGTGTTAGTGACACCCCTGCTTTTCATTGGGGGGATGTTGCATCGTCTGCCAAGTCTTTTGCTTTCGTTGTGAGTGATTTTCGTGTGCAAGTTCGGTACTAGTCCCTCTAGGATTTTCCAGGTGTATATAATCATGTATCTCTCCCGCCTGCGTTCCAGGGAATACAGGTTCAGGAACTTCAAGCGCTCCCAGTAAGTGAGGTGTTTTATCTCCGTTATGCGCGCCGTGAAGGTTCTCTGTACATTTTCTAGGTCAGCAATTTCACCTGCCTTGAAAGGTGCTGTTTGTGTGCAGCAATATTCCAGCCTAGATAGAACAAGTGACCTGAAGAGTGTCATCATGGGCTTGCCACCCCTAGTTTTGAAGGTTCTCATTATCCATCCTGTCATTTTTCTAGCAGATGCGATTGATACAATGTTATGGTCCTTGAAGGTGAGATCCTCTGACATCTTCACTCCCAGGTCTTTGACGTTGGTGTTTCGCTCTATTTTGTGGCCAGAATTTGTTTTGTACTCTGATGAAGATTTAATTTCCTCGTGTTTACCATATCTGATAATTGAAATTTCTCATCGTTGAACTTCATATTGTTTTCTGCAGCCCACTGAAAGATTGGTTGATGTCCGCCTGGAGCCTTGCAGTATCTGCAATGGAAGACACTGTCATGCAGATTCGGGTGTCATCTGCAAAGGAAGACACGGTGCTGTGGCTGACATCCTTGTCTATGTCAGACATGAGGATGAGGAACAAGATGGGAGAGAGTACTGTGCCTTGTGGAACAGAGCTTTTCACCGTAGTTGCCTCGGACTTTACTCTGTTGACTACTACTCTTTGTGTTCTGTTTCTGAGGAAATTATAGATCCATCTACCAACTTTTCCTGTTATTCGTTTAGCACGCATTTTGTGCGCTATTACGCCATGGTCACATTTGTCGAAGGCTTTTGCAAAGTCTGTATATATTACATCTGCATTCTTTTTGTCTTCTATTGCATCTAGGACCTTGTCGTAGTGATACAATAGTTGAGACAGACAGGAGCGACCTGTTCTAAACCCATGTTGCCCTGGGTTGTGTAATTGATGGGTTTCTAGATTGGTGGTGATCTTGCTTCTTAGGACTCTTTCAAAGATTTTTATGATATGGGATGTTAGTGCTATCGGTCTGTAGTTCTTTGCTGTTGCTTTACTGCCCCCTTTGTGGAGTGGGGCTATGTCTTGCTTTTAGTAACTGTGGGACGACCCCCGTGTCCATGCTCCCTCTCCATAGGATGGTAAAAGCTCGTGATAGGGGCTTCTTGCAGTTCTTGATGAACACGGAGTTCCATGAGTTTGGCCCTGGGGCAGAGTGCATGGGCATGTCATTTATCGCCTGTTCGAAGTCATTTGGCGTCAGGATAACATCAGATAGGCTTGTGTTAACCAAATTCTGTGGCTCTCTCATAAAAAATTCAGTTTGATCTTCGACTCTCAGTCTGGTTAGCGACTTGCTAAACATTGAGTCATATTGGGACTTGAGTAGCTCACTCATTTCCTTGCTGTCATCTGTGTAGGACCTATCTTGTTTAAGTAGGGGCCCAATACTGGACGTTGTTTTCAACTTTGATTTTTCATAGGAAAAGAAATACTTTGGGTTTCTTTCGATTTCATTTATGGCTTTTAGTTCTTCCCGCGATTCCTGACTCCTATAAGATTCCTTTAGCTTAAGTTCGATGTTTGCTATTTCTCTGACCAGTGACTCCCTACGCATTTCAGATATATTGGCCTCTTTCAGCCGCTCTGTTATTCTTTTCCGTCGCCTGTAAAGGGAGCGCCTGTCTCTTTCTATTTTACATCTACTCCTTCTTTTTCTTAGAGGAATAAGCCTTGTGCATACATCTAGTGCCACCGAGTTAATCTGTTCTAGGCATAAGTTGAGGTCTGTGTTGCTTAGTCTATCTTCCCAGCTTATATCGGTTAGGACTTGGTTTACTTGGTCCCACTTTATGTTTTTGTTTTTGAAGTTGAATTTGGTGAATGCTCCCTCGTGACTAATCTCATTATGTCGGTCTGGGGCTCTGCGCATACATGTCTGAACCTCGATTATGTTGTGATCTGAGTATATTGTTTTTGATATGGTGACATTTCGTATCAGATCATCATTGTTAGTGAAGATGAGGTCTAGTGTATTCTCCAGTCTAGTAGGCTCTATTATTTGCTGGTTTAAATTGAATTTTGTGCAGAGATTTAAAAGCTCGTGTGTGTGTGAGTTCTCGTCAGAGCTGCCTCCTGGTGTTATCACTGCAACAACATTATTTGCTATATTCCTCCATTTTAGGTGCCTTAAGTTGAAATCCCCCAGGAGCAAGATGTTGGAGGCAGGAGCTGGCAGATTTTCCAGTGGTCAATTTTTAACAGCTGTTCCTGGAATTGCTGGGACGTTGCATCCGGAGGCTTGTAGACTACCACAATGACTAGGTTTTGGTTCTCGATCTTTACTGCTAAAACTTCCACTACATCATTTGAGGCATTAAGCAGTTCTGTGCAAACAAGTGACTCTGCGATGTACAGGCCAACTCTCCCCCTTTTTCCTGTTCACTCTGTCGCATCTGTATAGGTTGTAACCTGGGATCCATATTTCGTTGTCCAAGTGATCCTTTATGTGGGTCTCTGTGAAAGCCGCGAACATTGCATTTGCCTCTGCAAGCAGTCCACGGATGAAAGGTATTTTGTTGCTCGTTGCTGACTTTAGACCCTGTATATTTGCAAAGAAGAATGTCATCGGACTGGTGGTATTGTTGGTACTGGGGGGGGGACTTTTTTTTTCCGGCATTGGTATCTGTATCTGTTGGTTTGGAGTGGAGGCCATCGACTGTGGTTCCACTCCAGGAATGACTGGGTTTGGTGTACGATTTCCGCCATTTCCAGCCAGTTTTTTTTCCTTCCTGGCACTAAAAAACCTCTCCCTCTTGAGTGGCTGTGGCTACCCAGGTTTTCCCATGGCCTGGATGTTTTGTATCTTTTTGTACCCTTTAGATGGTGTGCCTGGCAATTTAAGTTATAGCACAGTCTTTCCTGTACTGAAGAGGTACACATTTCAGGGTGAAAAAGCTTACAGGAAGGGAGTTTGCATTTTCCTGTTGTCATATGGGCATGGCATTTTCTAGGGTGGTCATAGTTGCACGTCCCGTGCTTGTTTTATATTTATTGTTTGTGTTTGTTGTGTGGTAATAATAATAATAATAATAATAATAATAATACATGTATTATTATTATATTATTATTATTGGTAAAAGTGCCCATTGCCCATAGATAATGTTAATGATAATGATAGAGAAGTGGGCGTAAATAAGAGTTAACAATAAATTATTTCTTGTGGAAATAAGCCACATTATCATCTTGGGTTATCTTAGGCCTTAAGATAATTTAAAAAAAGTGAAAACCTAATTTATTATATGAAACCACCACTTAAAGAAGGTTCCTTGATGTTGGTGAAGGGCTCTTGATCTAAGGAATTGGATCAATGCTCCAATTCCTGGAATCAAGCCTGATTTCAGTAAGTTTATTTAGTCACAGATACACATAAGTACAATTATCATACATAGTGTAAATTACCTAGGATAACTCCCCTCAAAAAATCAAAGCTACTTATTACCATTGTGCATAACCACGATTTTCCAGGAGCCGTGACTCGACCCTAGCAACCACATATAGGTGAATACATGCCTAATTTTGTCACTTAAGACAATATTGGATTATCCTGGGTAATTTACACTTATACTCTTATGTAAGAAAATTGTAATCATTCAAAGAGTGCATAATTGTACCTGAATATACTTATGGAAATAAATCACTAACATTTCTGTGTTATCCCAGGTTCTCTACACATATACTATGTATGATAATCTATGTAACTGTGTTTGTGTATATTTGAATAAACTTATTTATACGTACAGTAATTTTGAAATAAAGACCTTGACTTTGAGTGAATAATGTGTGTGAGAGTCCCTAGCAACGACCTTGAGACCCTAGCAACCAGTGTTGGTCTGTTCAAAGTCCATCATACACCTATTTATTTTGTATAATCAGTTTTTTGGGTGTCTAGACATCACAACACTGACCTTCACTCTGGGTGAGACTTCTTATATACTTTTTCTTTAAGTGCTACACTTAAAGTATTCCTCAAGTTTTATTTTTCTGTAATTATCGAGATTTTTTTTTAAGACAGTACCTGAAGGCCAGTTATTGTTACTATAAAACATGGTGATGGCTTCACGCTACCTCATTAAATAAAGTTTTGCATATTTAAATTAATAGGCAAGTTTAAATTTGGGTTTCCTGTGCCATTTACATATTTGGTGGTGGTTTTTGAGGGCAGACGGTGTGGACACCCTAGGATAGTAGGTATATAATTATTTAGGCACAGGTACACATAAGTAAAATTATTATAGATGTGTAAATTATGTAGAATAACCAAAAAAAAAAAAAAAAAAAAAGGTCAGATACCCTAGAATACAAACACTAAAGGAAATAAGCCACTTGACTTTTTTTGGGTTATCCTAAGTAATTTACATGTTATTATGCATTATAATTGTGCAAATGTTTATTTTTACCTAAATAAACTTACCCTAGAATACTCTGTGGTACTGTAGGATACCCTAGGGTACTGTAGGATACCCTAGGGTACTGTAGGATACCCTAATATAACCCTAAAAGTCAGTGTGACTTACATTTTTACCTGTATTGTATAACAAGCCATTTATGCTAATTAGCTGTATATTAATATGTGTGTCCTCCATGTGTACAAGAAATAGCAACAGTTATTTCATAAAAATCTTTTGTATAGTATTTTTAGTAGAAGAACAGAATAATGCTATACTGATCATGGAGTCTTAAGGCTCAAATGAACTCTGGATGTTTATATAAGAATATTAGGAATAACAGCGACCCTATTGGAAATAGTCACTTCGTCTGATTTTTTTTCTTTGGGTTATCCTATGTAATTTACTCTATGTATGATAAATTGTACTTATGTGTACTTGTGATTAAATGAATTTAATACTATCTTGAATATTTAATACTATCTTGAATATTTAATACTATCTTGAATATTTAATACTATCTTGAATTTAATACTATCTTGAATACTGCTGTGGCAGTCACGTTTGTTGATATATAGTTTAACTAAAGTGGAATTTAGATTTTTTATTAAGTAAGCTATGTAAAAAGATGCATGTAATTACATTATTGTACATAGAAGTTGTATTTTTAATTTCATTATACAAACAAACAAAACAAAAGTTTATTTCTTTGCAAAGGTTACAATGTGAGTTTACATTTCATAATTTGATTGGAACAAAGAAAGCCAGTATAATAATAATAATACAGTAATAATATCTTTATTTACTGCAAGTAAATGTACAAGGTATACAGTCCTAGCTGACATCAGTGTCATAGTACTATATAGAAAGCCGCTTGTTATGCAGAGTATTTCGGGCAAATTAGGTCAGTTTTGCCCCAGGATGCGACCCACACCAGTCGACTAACATCTAGGTACCCATTTTACTGATGGGTGAATATAGACGGCAGGTGTCTTATGGAAACATGTCCCTAATGTTTTCCAGCCGTACCGGAGGAGATTCGAACTCCAGACCTCAGTGTGTGAGCTGAGTGCGCTAGCGATCAAGCTACGAGGCATTTCAGGCAGACTTAACCTAATACTTAAGACTACTTAAGTCTAGATAAACTTCAAATATTCAATATTTTACTCAATTATTAATATGAGATAGTACAATGTATGATACAAAACATACATTTTTAAGTTTGTAATAATGTTTTAATAGATAAGGGATAATAAAATATATAGGAGAATTGCTTCAAATTTGGTTAGAGATTAGCATAGTGTATTAATGGTTACTATTGAGTGATGAGATGACTTTTAAGTATAGTAATAAACTGATTTGTGGGCAGGGGGCATTTTTTGCTGGTTTGGGCAAAGATTTCCAGATCTTCGGGCCCTTTTCGTGCATTATATTTTTACATAGTGTGAGACAGACACGAGGGATGTCAAAAAGTGTTTTGTGCCTCGTGTTATGCCTGTGTAAAATACATATAATGATTATACATACAGTTTATAGTAAAGATGCATTTAATGAAGACTTAACCTAGGATAGGCTAATAATAATGTATTACTTGTGACTCGTGAAATCATAATAACACAGTTGTAAACAAATCATGGAATGGGTGGGGTTGGAATCCATGGCAGGTTCAAACCTCCACCCGTTCTGTGATTTATATTACTCGTGAACTGCTAAATCCATGTGGGTCAGTCAGTACAAGAAGGGTTGGAGGGTTCATCCTACATTTGCTTGGAAAATCATTACCAGAGTTACTGGAAAAGAATTCTACATAGAATTCTACCTATGTAGAAACAAAGAAAGAATTCTACCTTTGTAGAATTCTTTTCCAGTAACTCTGGTAATGATTTTCCAAGCAAATGTAATAATGTAAACAAAAATCATCTTCAACCTTTTTTGAGGAATTGTAGGGATGTCATAGATTAAGTGATCATGAAATATTACTTTTGTAAACAGTAGAATCTTGATTTTCAGTGCTCTGAGTGACTCTGTTTCACACTTCCAGCAGTTGCATTTTAGAACTAATAAATTCCTCACAAACAAGTGACTTGCACTTGTAACTTGCACTTTTGACACTGGGGACCACTTCGGATGGCAGAAGCACTGAGGATGTGTCTGCTGGAAGGCAGTGTTATGGATGGTTGCTGAATGATAGTCTCCTGATGTTTTGTTCTCTCTCGGCTTTGCATTTTGGTTTAATTTTTTGAGGATTTATCTTTGGAAACAGCTGTTTATCAAGAATGGAGGTGCAAGAGTAGTGGGAAGGATATCCTGTTAATACCATGTATAGACTCTTAAAATAAATCACACTATGTAGTTGCTAAAACTCTATATACAGTGGACCCCCGCTGAACGATCACCTCCAAATGCGACCAATTATGTAAGTGTATTTATGTAAGTGCGTTTGTACGTGTATGTTTGGGGGTCTGAAATGGACTAATCTACTTCACAATATTCCTTATGGGAAAAAATTCGGTCAGTACTGGCACCTGAACATACTATTGGAATGAAAAAAGTTCGTTAACCGGGGGTCCACTGTACTAAGGTTTTGCGTGACATACTGTCCATCCTCTGGGCTTTTCAAATTTGGATTCAAATTTTTATTTCTTTGGGAACGGTTGAAGTCCCTTGATTTGTACTCCTGGGAACACAGGCGAGAAAGATCCATGATAATACAGCCTCTCCTCACTTAGCGACATACTCGTTTACCGGCGACTCGGACTTACGACGGTGTTTCTGACCAGCATGCATACCTAAATAATGTATATTAGAGCTGATTTCCTCTATTCTGTTTATTACAATATACAGTACACTACAGTATAAACATTTATAAATATACCAGAAATGTTATAAATGGTGCAAATATGACAGTAAAACAGTATTAAAGATGGTTGACACAAATCCACTGCCATTATAGTATGCTCCACACTTAGCGATGAATTCGTTTACCAACGTGGTCTTAGGAACGGAACTCCGTCGTTAAGTGAGGAGAGGCTGTATTCACTTGGAAAATCCTAGGGACAAGTGCCAAATCTGCACAGGAAGATCATTCCCTGCAAAAGCAAAAGACTCAGCAGGAGATGCTAGATCCAACAATGAAAAGGAGGAGCACCATGAGTACACTAAGAGACAACACAATAAGTGTTGAGCTGTTCAATTGCCTCCCAGCATACATAAGGGGGATTACCAATAGACCTCTGGCTGTTTTCAAGAAGATGCTAGACAGGAACCTAAAGTCAGTGCCTGACAGCCAGGCAGTGGAGCATATGTCGGGTTATGTGTGGCCAACATTAACAGCCTGGTTGATCAGGCCCCGATCCACCACAAGGCCTGATCACGGACTGGGCTACGGGGGCGTTGACCCCTGAAACCCCTTCAGGTGTAGTATACAATGTGTGAGTTACATGATATTAGATAAGGAAAATTAGAGCTTGGAATACATTAATCCATTTTCCATTGTTTCTTGTTGGAACATATGCTCTGGGTAATCAACTTTCAAATTAGGATGGATTTTCAGGAACATGTTAATGTCCTAAGTTGAGGATCTAGTGTATCTATTATGACTATTGCAAAGGTTCATGACCTTTTTTAAAACAATTTACCTAAATAATAATGGCTATGATTGCCATGGGTTTAGCACTTTCATGTGACAATAATATAATTATACAGTTTGTAATTAAAGTTTATGTACAATTTTCTTTTGTTTTATTATGTATTTCAGTATAATTACCTCCATATATTTACTATATGTGACTTAACCCTTTGACTGTTTTGGTCATATACACACGTCTTATGAGCCACCGTTTTTGACGTATATACATATACTCATAAATTCTAGCGGCTTCAAATCAAGCAGGAGAAAGCTGGTAGGCCCACATGTGAGGGAATGGGTCTGTGTGGTCAGTGTGCACCATATAAAAAAATCCTGCAGCACGCAGTGCATAATGAGAAAAAAAAAACTCTGACCGTTTTTTTTAATTAAAATGCCGACTTTGTGGTCTATTTTCAAACGTAAACAAATGATGTCATTTTCCAATAAATGTCCATGTAGCCATTCTAATATGCAGTCATGAATGGGTTGACATTATTTATACAATTATTACAATAATGCCGTAGTCTGTATAACAATAAATCAGAAGGGCCTGGAGACGTGACTGATGAACAAAGAAAATGTTATTTTAGAGCCAGTAATGTCTGCATTATTCATTCTGGACCCTATTTTGAAAGTGGCATATTTTTTAATATGCATGAAATTGGCCAAATTGCAAATTTCTAACCATGTTATTGGGTAGTTGAAATTGGTAAATGGGCAGTTTCTTGTACTCAATCGATAGAAAAAATAGAGCTCTAAAGAAATAGCTATGAGTTTGGTCGACTGGAACAATGGAATTAGCCGAAAATAGGGCTCAAAGTGAGCGAAATCACCGATTTGTAAATATTGCCGAGGTCACTAACTTCACGAGAGCATAATTCCGTCAGTTTTCCATCAGATTTCATTCTTTTGGTGTCATTACAATCGGGAAACGATTCTCTATTATTTCATAAGAAAAAATAATTTTTTTCGGAAATTTTGCGATACCAGGAGACACCTCAGGATTTGGGGTTGCGACAGTGAAGGGTTAACTAAATAAAGAACGAAATGCAATTAAACTAAACTTGAGCTGAGCTCGGCATCCAGTTTTTTAAAAGAAAATACGTAATTGCAACAAGAGCTTTAAAGTCTACAAATACTGTAACAAATATAAGAGAAATGAGAATGTCTATATGCAGAAAAAACAAATTAATTGTTACTATAGAATATCGTAAATGTAAACTCCCAGGAAGCACTGATCGGGCATACTATTGCTGCTTGTGGCCCAGTGGTCAACTTTTCCATCACATCTTCCCTGAAATAAGTCACTTAGTCTGACTTTTTTGTGGGGAGTTATCCTAGGTAATTTATACATATGTTACATGTACTATACGTACATATATGATAATTTGGGTAAGTGTATTTATGTGTACCTGTACCTAAATAAACTTACATCATACAGGAATTTGTGTAGTTTCCTTTTGAAGTATTGCTGTATCATATTTTATATGCTGGCAATTAAAGCATGCAGTTATTCCATAGGTAATAACACACATCACTGAACATAAAGCTCCTCCCTATTAAAAGACGGAATGGGGCGGAAAGTTATCGTAGCAACCTGCTGCCTGAACCAGTGGGCCATGGACTTTCAAGGTAACCTGGACCGTATCATTGATTCCATACAGCAGGCTAAGGCTGCTGGAGCCACATACAGGAGTGGTCCTGAGCTTGAGATACCGTAAGTTTATGCTGTATAGTTTGTAGAAGAATGGTTCAGAGAACCGACATGTTGATAAATTAGACACATGTGCAACTCTTGGGTATCTTTATTGAGGAAACGTTTTGCCACACAGTGGCTTCATCAGTCCATACATAGGAGAAACTTGAAGAACAGGAGGAGAATGAAGTAATCAGTCCCTCAACCTTGAGTCGATGTGTTCAGTCCATCAATCTTGAGTAGAATACGGCATATGAGCGGAGAAGCAGCTTATAAACCATATGGCATGAGAGGTGCAGCAGTCATAGGTAGTGTCACATTTGTTCAATGTGGAAGTAGGTCGTGCCCAAGAATTAGGCAAGCGAAGAATTCCTAAAGATACCCAAGAGTTGCACATGTGTCTAATTTATCAACATGCTGTATAGTGTTGGTATCTATATTTTATATGAGTAAAGTCTTTGTTTTGCTGTTATAATCATATTAGAAAATATATAAATACAGTATACCTGTCTTTATGTCCCACAAGTTTAGTACATATTGTACTTTCCCCATGAATATAAAAATACCGTAATACTCTTTCTTTAAACAGTTGAATTTACAAGCCAAGAGCTATTATCCTATGTCAGACTTATAAACAATGGTGAAGATTAAGGGAAAAGTGTATTATATTCTTATCTCATATACTGTGTGAATATCTGTACAGATGAGTCATCTCCACTAATTCATGGGCTTCCCTATATACTGGGTTTGATTATCCAACATTCTTATTGAAGGAGAACCCATGAATAGATTTGATTATTTGAATGGTTTTCTGGTGTACAGTATTGGCTTTCCCACTCCCAAATCTTGCTATGCTGGTCGTTCAAGTATTGTTTACTGTAATTTTTACCATTTAATCTATTATAGCTTAGTTAATCTTAAGTTAACTTTAAGCCTGCCCATAATGCTCTGCATGCAAGGGGCTTTTGGCATGTACACCCAACTACTATAATTCCTTGTACAATTATGTATCATGTCTTAACCCTTAAACTGTCCAAACGTAGATCTTCTTTTGTTTTTTACTTTTGAAAATGTGTAAAAAACTTTGATCTACATTTTTTTTTGTTATATTTGAAAATATGTAAAAAAACGTAGATCTACTTTTGGAGCACTACGCATGTGAATGTAGATCTGGTTGGACAGTTTAAGGGTTAATAAACTATTGTTATTATTATTATTATTATTATTATTATTATTATTATTATTACGTATTATTATAAAGATATACAGTGGACCCCCGGTTAACGATATTTTTTCACTTCAGAAGTATGTTCAGGTGCCAGTACTGACCGAATTTGTTCCCATAAGGAATATTGTGAAGTAGATTAGTCCATTTCAGACCCCCAAACATACACGTACAAACACACTTACATAAATACACTTACATAATTGGTCGCATTCAGAGGTGATCGTTATGCGGGGGTCCACTGTATTATTGTCTCAAATGCAGAAGAAACCCAGTTCTGAAAAAAATTGTTATACAGACATCACTTTATATTATTTGCGGTATTATTTGTATTTATTTGCCTCGAGGAATGTAACCCCCCCCCCATAAATTTGTAGGGAAAACTGTAATATACTGGACTTCCTATCTGTATTCTACAAAGATGGTTGAGTGTACAGGTGTCCCTCACTTTATGCAGTATATAAATTTAAGAACCATGGCTGCTGTACTAAAAATTTTATACTATTTTCACTCATTTTCAGAGGATACAGTTGTGCAGATCACTACTATGAGAGTGATACATTGCTTCACTCGTGGGAGGTGGTGGCAGAGCTGCTCCGCCATCCATCATGTACAGACATTATAATTGATGTAGGCCTTCCAGTTATGCACAAAAATGTCACTTACAATTGTAGATTAGTGTTCCTAAACAGGTAAGGGTCTTTAGTAAATCTTTCTTTCAACACACTGGCCATATTCCACCGAGGCGGGGTGGCCTGGAAGGAAAAATGAAAGTTTCTATTTTTACATTTAGTAATGTACATATACAGAAGAAGGGGTTACTAGCCCCTTGCTCCCGGCATTTTAGTAACCTCTTACGACACGCATGGCTTACAGAGGAATAATTCTGTTCCACTTCGCAATGGAGCTTTAGTAAATATTTATTTAATATTAATAGATGATAAATAAATACTAAATCTCCATGGGGAAGTGGAACAGAATTCTTCCTCCATAAGCCATGTGTGTCATAAGAGGAGACTAAAATGCCGAGAGCAAAGGCAAGAAACCCCTTCTCCTGTATGTATTACTAAATTTAAAAAGAGAAACTTTCATTTTTCTTTTTTAGGTTACACTGCCTCAGTGAGATATGGCTGGTTTGATTAAAAAAAAAAAAAAATAAATATCACTTGCCTATTTTTCTCTCCAAAGCAAAAACTTAAAAAAATTTGTAAACCGACTATTAGTGGTGAGAGTATTAATAAATCGGTGTAAGAAAGATGGGATGAATAATAGAATAGATGAGGGGGAAAAAAGATAAGTTGAATGTTGAGATGTCTGTGGATATTTTTCATAAATATATCGTCAAAGGGAACTGTACCATTGTATTGTATAGTAGCGGCAACACTTGTGTAGGTGTTAGACATGGTCTTCAAATGTTGCAATGAAGAGGCTGGAGGCAGTGAAGATGTCATGTGTGAGATCAATATGTGGTGTGAATATTATGCAGAGAATAAAGAGTGTAAAAATTAGAAGACCATGTGGGGTTTGCTAAAGATAATTTGATCATTTAGAAAGGATGGAGCATGATTGGTTAACCAAGAGGGTATGTAAATCCAGGGTGAATGAAAGGAGGTTTTGATGACCCTGGAAGTGTAGAAGGAAAAAGTGAAGGAGGTTTTAAGTGATAGGAGATTGAGTAGGCATTTGTTATGTCCAAGCAGAGTAGAAACAGTGGTTTTTGGGATTTGATGTGTTATTGGACTGTGATCAAGGTAACATTCATGAAGGGATTCAGGGAAAATCAGTTAGCTACACTTAAATTCTGGAAGTGAGAGGTACAGTGCTTGCACTCTGAAGGATGGGTAGGATATGATTCAGTGTATCCCTTTAATTGTAATACTCATGCCTTTCTGGCAAGATCAGTATTGGATGAGTGATGCTGAATGAGTTTCCTTCTTTGGGTTGCCTTACCTTAGTGGGAAAGAAGTAATGTAGTAAATTTAGTTTTTTACTTCTAATGCATCATTTACCTTGCAACAAGTGATATTTATTGAATATGATAGTTTAAATATCCACAATTATAATAGATTTTTTCTAGGAACAACTAGATTTATTTCTTCCTCCATAAACCATGCCTATCATAAGAGGCAACTAAAATGCTGGGAGCAAGGTGCTAGTAACCCCTTCGCCTGTACAAACTACAAAATTTAGAAAGAAAAACTTTTGTTTTTCTTTTTAGGTCACCCTACCTCGGTGGGATATGGCCAGTTTGTTAAAAAAAAAAATTATAATAGAAAATTTTATGCACTCAGGAAAATTCTTCTCATCCGTCCAAAGTTAATTCTGTGTGATGATGGCAACTACCGGGAGACCAGATGGTTTACTGCCTGGCACAAGGTGAGAATTCAGTGTTTGATTTTATCTTCTTTTTCATAATAATTTAACAAAATTCAAAACTTAAAATATATACTGTATATTGCAGCTGTTGCATATATCTGCATTTGTGATTGTATTTTTTTGTCATCTTTTTGTCTAGTGCCATGTCCGGTATTACAGGTAGTAGTGCTACCATATTGATAAAGGTGGCTTGTGACAGCACTTTTGGCACACAGCTGAAGTACCTGGGTTTGATCCTGGGACAGATGGAGATGTTGGTTATATTTCCTTACACTTGTTGCCTGTGTTCTCCCAATAGTATTAGTTTATGAAGCACTTGAAAGAAAAGTGTTTTCTATTAGTCTTTTCATTTTCTCCTTCAGAGTTTGATAGTTTGACCATAGTATTTTTCTTCATGAGCTTAACCACTATGTTCGCAGAGAGTTCACATAAAGCTGATAAGTAAGACAAATGTGCAACAGTTAGGTTATGTCACTGAGGAGAGGCTGTATTGGGATGCCATAAACTATGACCAATCATATCTGGTTAAGATTAAGATGTTTATTTTGACAAATTACATGGTTGTACAGAGGAATATAATTGGGTGTACATGCCAAAAGCCCCTTTGTATGCAGAGCATTTTGGGCAAACTTAAAGATTAACTTAACCCTTTCAGGGTCGAGAGGCCCTCTCCTAAACTTGTTTTCAGGGTCGAAAGTTTTTCCGAAAAAAAAAAATTTTCTTACGAAATGAGAGAGAATCTTTTCCTGATCATAATGACACCAAAAGTATGAAATTTGATGGAAAACAGAATTATACTCTCGCGAAGTTAGTGGTCTCGACGATGTTTATGCATCGGCGATTTTGCCCACTTTGAGCCCTATTTTTGGCCAATTCCAGTGTACTTGTCGAAAAAATCATAAATATTTCGCTAGAACTACATTTTTTCTATCTAATGAGTACAAGGAACCACCCATTTACCGATTTCAACTATCCAATACAGTGGTCAGAATTTAGCAATTTTACCAATTTCACACAAATTTCAAAAGATGCCAATTTCCGAATAGGGTCCAGAATAAACAAGAAAGACATTCCTGGCACTAAAATAACATTTCCTCTGTTCATTAGTCATGTCCCCATGCCCCTCTTACATTCTTTTGCTTTCCACTTTGAATTTTTATTCTCACAAAAAATGGAAGATTTACTGTTATGCAGACTACTGCATTGGTGTAGAAATGGTATAAATATTATCAACGCACTTGTGAAAGAATATTAGACTCACCAGTTGACGTGTATTGGACGCATAGCATGATTTGTTTACTTTTGAACTTTGGTAAAAATCGAACATTTCTGCTAGTTTGAGCTCAATTTCCAGGTAGTTTTCTTTGTAAAAGAAGTTGGATGTCCTGGCCCTAAGCGAAACAAAGCTGAAGGGGGTAGGGGAGTTTCAGTGGGGGGAAATAAATGGGATTAAATCTGGAGTATCTGAGAGAGTTAGAGCAAAGGAAGGGGTAGCAGTAATGTTGAATGATCAGTTATGGAAGGAGAAAAGAGAATATGAATGTGTAAATTCAAGAATTATGTGGATTAAAGTAAAGGTTGGATGCGAGAAGTGGGTCATAATAAGCATGTATGCACCTGGAGAAGAGAGGAATGCAGAGGAGAGAGAGAGATTTTGGGAGATGTTAAGTGAATGTATAGGAGCCTTTGAACCAAGTGAAGAGAGTAATTGTGGTAGGGGACCTGAATGCTAAAGTAGGAGAAACTTTTAGAGAGGGTGTGGTAGGTAAGTTTGGGGTGCCAGGTGTAAATGATAATGGGAGCCCTTTGATTGAACTTTGTATAGAAAGGGGTTTAGTTATAGGTAATACATATTTTAAGAAAAAGAGGATAAATAAGTATACAAGATATGATGTAGGGTGAAATGACAGTAGTTTGTTGGATTATGTATTGGTAGATAAAAGACTGTTGAGTAGACTTGAGGATGTACATGTTTATAGAGGGGCCACAGATATATCAGATCACTTTCTAGTTGTAGCTACACTGAGAGTAAAAGGTAGATGGGATACAAGGAGAATAGAAGCATCAAGGAAGAGAGAGGTGAAGGTTTATAAACTAAAAGAGGAGGCAGTTAGGGTAAGATATAAACAGCTATTGGAGGATAGATGGGCAAATGAGAGCATAGGCAATGGGGTCGAAGAGGTATGGGGTAGGTTTAAAAATGTAGTGTTAGAGTGTTCAGCAGAAGTTTGTGGTTACAGGAAAGTGGGTGCGGGAGGGAAGAGGAGCGATTGGTGGAATGATGATGTAAAGAGAGTAGTAAGGGAGAAAAAGTTAGCATATGAGAAGTTTTTACAAAGTAGAAGTGATGCAAGGAGGGAAGAGTATATGGAGAAAAAGAGAGAGGTTAAGAGAGTGGTGAAGCAATGTAAAAAGAGAGCAAATGAGAGAGTGGGTGAGATGTTATCAACAAATTTTGTTGAAAATAAGAAAAAGTTTTGGAGTGAGATTAACAAGTTAAGGAAGCCTAGAGAACAAATGGATTTGTCAGTTAAAAATAGGAGAGGAGAGTTATTAAATGCAGAGTTAGAGGTATTGGGAAGATGGAGGGAATATTTTGAGGAATTGTTAAATGTTGATGAAGATAGGGAAGCTGTGATTTCGTGTATAGGGCAAGGAGGAATAACATCTTGCAGGAGTGAGGAAGAGCCAGTTGTGAGTGTGGAGGAAGTTCGTGAGGCAGTAGGTAAAATGAAAGGGGGTAAGGCAGCCGGGATTGATGGGATAAAGATAGAAATGTTAAAAGCAGGTGGGGATATAGTTTTGGAGTGGTTGGTGCAATTATTTAATAAATGTATGGAAGAGGGTAAGGTACCTAGGGATTGGCAGAGAGCATGCATAGTTCCCTTGTATAAAGGCAAAGGGGATAAAAGAGAGTGCAAAAATCATAGGGGGATAAGTCTGTTGAGTATACCTGGTAAAGTGTATGGTAGAGTTATTATTGAAAGAATTAAGAGTAAGATGGAGAATAGGATAGCAGATGAACAAGGAGGCTTTAGGAAAGGTAGGGGGTGTGTGGACCAGGTGTTTACAGTGAAACATATAAGTGAACAGTATTTAGATAAGGCTAAAGAGGTCTTTGTGGCATTTATGGATTTGGAAAAGGCATATGACAGGGTGGATAGGGGGGCAATGTAGCAGATGTTGCAGGTGTATGGTGTAGGAGGTAGGTTACTGAAAGCAGTGAAGAGTTTTTACGAGGATAGTGAGGCTCAAGTTAGAGTATGTAGGAAAGAGGGAAATTATTTCCCAGTAAAAGTAGGCCTTAGACAAGGATGTGTGATGTCACCGTGGTTGTTTAATATATTTATAGATGGGGTTGTAAGAGAAGTAAATGCGAGGGTCTTGGCAAGAGGCGTGGAGTTAAAAGATAAAGAATCACACACAAAGTGGGAGTTGTCACAGTTGCTCTTTGCTGATGACACTGTGCTCTTGGGAGATTCTGAAGAGAAATTGCAGAGATTGGTGGATGAATTTGGTAGGGTGTGCAAAAGAAGAAAATTAAAGGTGAATACAGGAAAGAGTAAGGTTATGAGGATAACAAAAAGATTAGGTGATGAAAGATTGGATATCAGATTGGAGGGAGAGAGTATGGAGGAGGTGAATGTATTCAGATATTTGGGAGTGGACGTGTCAGCAGATGGGTCTATGAAAGATGAAGTGAATCATAGAATTGATGGAGGCAAAGAGGGGAATGTATGAGAGTATAGTTTTACCAACGCTCTTATATGGGTGTGAAGCATGGGTGATGAATGTTGCAGCGAGGAGAAGGCTGGAGGCAGTGGAGATGTCATGTCTGAGGGCAATGTGTGGTGTGAATATAATGCAGAGAATTCGTAGTTTGGAAGTTAGGAGGAGGTGCGGGATTACCAAAACTGTTGTCCAGAGGGCTGAGGAAGGGTTGTTGAGGTGGTTCAGACATGTAGAGAGAATGGAGCGAAACAGAATGACTTCAAGAGTGTATCAGTCTGTAGTGGAAGGAAGGCGGGGTAGGGGTCGGCCTAGGAAAGGTTGGAGGGAGGGGGTAAAGGAGGTTTTGTGGGCGAGGGGCTTGGACTTCCAGCAGGCATGCGTGAGCGTGTTTGGTAGGAGTGAATGGAGACAAATGGTTTTTAATACTTGACGTGCTGTTGGAGTGTGAGCAAAGTAACATTTATGAAGGGGCTCAGGGAAACCGGCAGGCCGGACTTGAGTCCTGGAGATGGGAAGTACAGTGCCTGCACTCTGAAGGAGGGGTGTAAATGTTGCAGTTTAAAAACTGTAGTGTAAAGCACCCTTCTGGCAAGACAGTGATGGAGTGAATGATGGTGAAAGTTTTTCTTTTTTGGGCCACCCTGCCTTGGTGGGAATCGGCCAGTGTGATGATAATAAAATAATAATAATAAAAAAATTAAAAGGATTGTATAAACAAAAGGAAATCATCTCAACAATCATATAGGCAGCCTCTCACCCAGCCTACATCCTCAGCAGCCCCTACAATCAACTATTTCTGAGGGTTACCCATCACTGCTGTGCTTATCCCACTTCTGGGAGTTTAAGCTGAGTAACCATGATTGTCATGCAACCTTAGACAATGCAATGACATTTACCGATTTCACCTATCCAATAAAGTGGTCAGAAATTGGCAATTTTACCAATTTCACACAAATTTCAGATGATGCCAATTTCCAAATAGGGTCCAGAATAAACAAGACAGACATTCCTGGCACTAAAATAACATTTTCTCTGTTCATTAGTCACATCCTCAGGCCCTTCTTACATCTCTTTTGCTTTCCACTTTGAATTTTTATTCTCACAAAAAATAGAAGATTTACTATTGTAGATGATTTACTGAATTAGTGTAGAAATGGTATAAATAATATCAGCACACTTGTGAAAGAATATTAGACTCGCCAGTTGACGTGTATTGGACGCTTGGCATTGTTTGTGTACCTTTGAACTTTGAGCTCAATTTTAAGGTA